GGTCCGAAACAGCGCGTAGCCGTTGACATGCTTTAATTGCGGTCTTCACTGTGTTAATTTCCTTTTCCAAATCCATTAGCTTTTACGTATAATAATCCAGGTTTTCATTAATATACGATTGAGGTTGCTGGGGAAGTCCAACACAACTCTCCGTGGTGGCAGGTGTCTCAGGCGGGACGCTAACGTCCATCCATATAGTAACTTCGGCAGTAGAGCCCATCTCCATCGGAGCGCTCATGCTGCGCACCTTCACTTTCAAGGATCAAGGACCGAATGAGTATGCTGCGAAATAAATATAAAATACCTCAATTTAGTAAAAAAATATCATTAAATAGATTTCTTTCTTTCGTTTAGCTGAAGAATGTCTGCAAAAAAAGCCTTATTTTATTCCAGATTTGGCAGATTCTAATCTCAATCTTCAGTGGAGAAAACAACTCCTATTATAATAATATTTGTGTTTTCAAGTGTTAAGGTGCCTTTTAAGAATACACCTCACACAAATTAAATTTATCTAAAATCTAACTGAACTTTTAGCATTGCGTTGTGATTTTTAAGAACCGGATTAGCCTCGTGTTGAACTGGGGATGATCATGAATAGTAATTAAATAAAACGTACAGTTGTTATCCAATGTATATAAATTTTATTAAGTTTTTTTAAGCGGAAAAGTAAACAAAATTATCAAACAAAGTGTACCAAGAATAATTAAGAATAAATGTCCTCTGGGATTTATTGAATAATTAAGTGAATTTGCTACACAGTACAAGTAATACCATAATTAATTTACCTCTTAGCAGAGCCAACGTACATTACGCGGATAGACTGGAATTTTCTCGAAACATATCTGGAAAACCTGGAAAAGTCAGTGAATTTCATTCTCCTGTTTGAGTGGCAACCCTGTCACACGCAACAGCAGTCACAAACATATTGTGCATTGATAGATAGCAGCCAGTCTTCTGCCTTTTATAGGCAACAGTGCAAGCCATTCATTCATTTGACACTGTCAAATGTGTATTATTACTGTTGAATTGCAATTTTGAGTAATTACTCTAAACTTTGCTGTAAAGTAGCACATGCCATCGAAGCGGTAAGTAAGCAGTTTATTTCCTTTGATGTCATATTTCTTGTGTTAGTGCCTCAATGTGGTATGTGTGCCTACAGGAAAAATGTTTGTCATAGTGTGGTGTACTACCTCTTAGTTCAATGAGTTCTGAATCACCTTGTAGAATTAAAAATTTATATTGTTATACAGATACAAATATAAGCAGAAGTTTTTTTATACATAAATTCTATTATTAAAATATTACACATCTAGGTAATTCATCATTATGTTAAACAAATGCAAGCAGTAATTTTGTCTATGAGTTTAAAAATTGAATTTTTATCTCAGCACTAGAATACTGTAGTTGATTTTCTCAGGGGTATTTGTGCTCCGGGGATTTTGAGCTTCGATACCCGGAAATTCCGGGGATCGTCGTTCAAAAGGAAGTAGGAATAATAATGAATTATTTATTTTGATCTGGGTAATTTTGTTTGCTTTGAAAGCAGAAAACGCAAGGTCAGTGGTCAGTGTGTATGGTGAAAACTTTTCCTTTCTTTCTCCAAAGGCAGTGATAATGCATGAAAAGGGGGAAAAAACTTCTTTTTTCTTCTTTCCTTATTGCGAGTTATGACTCATTCCCCCGGTTCTCGGACATTCTCTTCTGGATTCTTTGCGGCAAGTAGGCGCGGCAGAAAAAAAAGGGAGGGACTTCGTTCGACCAGATGTACGATCACGTGACTCTGGGTTCAAAGGTCTTATCTCTCCTGGCGTGGTGCCAATAAGTAGAGAAGGGGGATTTTTCACCATATTAGCTATTTGTCATTGATCACTTCTCAACTTTTTTTCCTCCGCTGTGTAAAATTTTTGTTTCATTTATTGAAATATTTTTTTATTTATGTACGCAAGAGAATTTCACTATGAAATTTCTCGATACAAATAGTGATATTATACAATTAGAAGAAGGTGTCCGGAATGCATTTAGGTGGAATTGGATTGAACGGAGAGATGGTAATGGGGATACCATCAGCACATGGTGCAAGAAAATAAATGTTGCTGGACAAGCATATTGTGTTTTTTGTAACTCACTGCTGAAGTATGGTGGGGAAGGATTCAAGGCTTTCACAAATCATTCTAAAACTGTGATGCACATAAAATATTCAAAGTGCATTAGACATTCAATGACTTTAAGTAATTATGCTAATTCAAAAAATACTGATGACTTACTGGAGACTGATGCTCGGCCATTGGATATAGTGACAAGAAAAGCACGCCAAGAGGTATTAATAACTTCGTTTATCGCCGAGAATTCTCTTTCTTTCAATGTAGCTCCCAATTTAATTGAACTCTGCAAACAGTTGAGCCGTGATCAGACGGCACTAAACTCGTTGGAAATGTCCAGGACTACTGCATGTTATAAGATGAAATATGGGCTCGCAAAAACTATTAAAGAAAATAGCATTAAAACTTTAAAGGAGACTCCATTTTCTCTAAATTTGGATGAAAGTACTAGCAATGCTCAAGAAAGTATACTGGCAATATTGGTGCAGTTTTATGACAACAATCAAAATGAAGTTGTAGTTCATCATTTTGCATCTCTAAAGATGGAATCTTGCAATTCAGAAGCTGTTTTTAAAGCAGTTGTTAATACTATTGAAGATAATAATATTCCATGGGCAAACTTAATTAGTTTATTAATGGACTCATGTAACACCATGCGAGGAAAAAAAAAAGGATGTTGAAACCAGACTACGATCAAATAAAGCACCCCACTTATTAGATATTTGTGGTGACACATGTCACACAGCTAATAACTGTGCAAAAAAATTTGCTTCATGTTTTGATAGATACTTAGAAGATTTGTTTGATGACATCTATTTTGATATGAAAAGCTGCAGGAAAAGAGAAAATTTTTTCAAAATCTGTGAATCCCTTGCCATTAAAAAACTTAAGCCCTTGAAGAGACCCAGACCATAGGTGGGTGTACATTTTATGTGTTTTAGAAAGAATCAAAGATCTGTGGGATGCTCTTATTGCATTTTATTTTCACTACTTGGATAAAACTGATAAAGGGGATTATTTTATGTTGAAACTGTATACAATAAAAGAAATATTTCTGCAGCCCAGAAAAAGTTGTTGAAGGAGTGTATTCTTGCTTGCATTCCCAACAACTCACAAAGAATGCTTTAGCTCAGGAAACAAGAATACTAAATGGGTTATTTGTTATGCAAAACAAAACTTTATTGCATGTGGCATTATATTCAGCAGTATTACCAGAGTTCAACACTTATATTAAATTATTTGAAACAAAAAAACCAATGCTTCATTTAATACATTCCAGTATTTATAAATTGATGGCAAAATTTTTCTCTTTTTTATGAAGCCAGAAAATATAGAGTGCACATCTTATAATGATTTATTAAAGGTTGATGTCACAAATCCGGAATTCCATCTACCTAGCAAAGTAATATTTACTGGGGCAGAAGCTTCCACTCTCCTGAAGAAATTATCAAAAAATCATCCAATAGCAAAAGAATTCCAAATTTCTTAGATGAAAGCTTATACTAATACAGCACAGCATATGAAACAGAAATTACCCCTTAAAAATTCATATCTAATTAGTTTTACAGCATTCGATCCAGAGCTAAGAGGTAAAACCAGTACAGTATTAGCTTTTGAAAAATTATCATCTTTTATGTCCCATATTTTTAGTGATAATGAAAAGTCAAAAGTAGAAGCTGAAATAAGGTTATACCAGAGTGATATTGATATCACCAAAGAAATGCCCTACACATCTGATGAAAGTGGAAATCAAGTCAAGTGTACAATTGATAAATATTGGTCTAAAGTTTTTAATTTAAAAGATGATTTCACAAATGATTATAAGTATCCTACATTGGCTAAATTGGTCAAAGCCTGCCTTAGCTGCTTCCATGGCCCATTAGTGGAAAGTGCATTCAACTTAATGGATACGCTTGTCACTGACTATAGAACCTCTCTTAAGATTGATTCCCTACATGCAGTGCAGACTATTAAATATGATTTAATGGCTTCTAAAGAAACCTCATGTGAAAAATATGGCTCAAAAAATTCAATGACTGATCCAATTCACAAAGATCTCTTACTGAATATGAATAGAAGTTGGAAAACATATCAAGAGGACTTAAAAACATGTATTTCAGATGAGTCACCTATAAAAATCTCTGAAAAAAACCTTCTACATTCGCAGAAAAGCAAACTGCTTCTACCTCTGCATGTGCAGTTCTCGAGGAAAGGAAAATTTCTTCAACTGTAAATGAGGAAAATAAAAGTCAACCTTCCTGCAATTATGAAGTTCACCACAAAGAAAGACAAGCCTACAAACATCAGAAAATAAAAAAGGAAAAAAAAAAAAAAAAAGCAACAGAAATTAGATAATTTTTTTTTAAAAAAATTAATTCAGTTAATTTAAAATATTTACATAAAATGTAGTAGTTTATATGTTTGAAAATTTATGGTTATTAATTTTGCAAAAAAAAAGTAATTAATTGAACTTCATTCAATACTTCATAATTGTAATTATTCATTTCTCTCCCCCCCTTCTCGAAACTCCAAAATGTCGGTAAGTAAGTCCGTAAAAGTTTCAGGGATTTTTTGGGGTCCCACAAACACCCCTGATTTCTGTTTTTTTAAATTTTGCAAATTTTTACCAGTAACCATCTTGTAAATGCTTTTTCTAAGCCCTGCATCTGTTCTTTTTACTATATTTAATCATACTGGGAATTCTGTATCTTCCACTGTAAGTATTATCAGTAATAATAAAGTTGGATAGAAACTCAAAGAAGTCAGAACCTGTGTTAATATGTTTTACTGTTATTTAGGTTAATTTTCATGTTGCATTTCTTCTTATTATTATTTAATTGGATAAATTTATCTTCTTCATGGTAATTATATTTATTTATGCTTATTCAATTGTTGATGTAGGTTGTTCCAAGTGATCCAACAATTTTGAAAGTTAAATCTCCAGTTTCAAATCCAAATTTTCCTGCTTCTATTAGCTTTGCTGTTGAAGTGATTGATATTAACAACTTATGGAGGACAGACATTGCTTCACTTCATATTGATATAAGTTGCCCTGTTACCAAGCAACAGGTCAAATTGCCTGTTAGAGTTAAGAAGCTTGATATGCCATTAGATATCAGTAAGTATTTTTTATTATTTTTCAGCAGTGATCTCAAATTGCATGCAACACAAATACATGATGTCAAAGGAGCTGATAGGCAACAACAATTTTTCAACAAAATTTAAAAACATTTTTACCCTCTCCTCCTAGAAAAAGAAAACTAAATTTTAAATTTCACTTAGTGAATATTTACCAAATTCGAATTAATAGTAGTAATAACACAAAAATAAAAATTCAAATTTTTTTTTTTATTTTTTATGTGAAGTCTAAATGCAACCTGCAAAAAATTCCTTTTGGTTATCCTTTGCAATTCAAATACATGGACAGCTAAATGTTAAATTTCAGACTGATGTTTATTTCAGGTAATTCCACTATGTGAAATTAACTGCTAAATAATTTATTTTTAATCTTAACTATTTCAGAATGCTGAAATTCCACCAGCTGTCGGTTGGGAGAATAAATTTACTGACTGTGCTAAATGTGAGAAATTCTCTTATCTTATAATAATATACTGCTGGATGTACAAGCATAAATCAATAAAGCCCAATTTCTGTCTTGTTTCCTTGACTAGCAGTTACACACATTAATTATATCTTTATGTCTTTGAAAACTATAATCTCCATATCTGCAACAAATACATAGTTGATATGTATATTAGGGCTGCAGGTTTGAGACCACTGATCTACAGTACTGAAAAATTGTTATTTTTCTCAAATCAAATTGTACATCTTAGTTTTTCCTTTACCCTTAGGTTCTTATTGTCCACCACAACCGGCACCTGTACCTTCAATTACTGATTCTTTCTATGACTGGTATTTTTTGCTTAAAACATCAACAGCTTTATTAGTAATTGTTATTACAATTTACAGTGAGTTTTTCTTTCTTTCTTTCTTTTTTTTTTTTTTCTTTTTTTTTTTTTTAATATATATATAAAGTTTTATATAATTTTGAATGAATGACATTTTTAGTTTTTCATACAGTTATATATGCTGAAATATTTTTTACCTTTTATTAGTTGTCAAATGGGTCAAAACAGCAAGACGAGGAATAGTCACATCACAGCCGGTCTTCTTAAATACCAGTAGTAGTAGTTCTCATAATTTTTCCCCAGGTTGGTAAATATCATGATGAATAGGTTTTTAGTATCCATTCTTCAGTAAAAAGCAATTTTTTATGTAGTGCTGCTTGGATTTTTTTTTTTTTTTTAACTACAGAAAATAATCTATATAATTAAAATTACGTCAAATGAGAGATGTATAAATTACTCTTTGGAGGATTTTAATTTTTAACCTCATCCACTATATTACTTGATATCATCACTTAATAATTTATATTCTGTTTTATGCATCATCTGTTTACATAATAAACCAAACAGTTATGGTTCTATACCCATATAATCAGTGATGAGCTATAGGAGATTTGTGCAAGCCTTTTTTCTCTATCATCGTGGGAGATTTTTTAGTCTATTGGAAAGCATACTTAGCTATTCAGAAATAAAACACTGGAACATATACATATAGAAACATCCTCCTGACATGAATCATTGACCAATCCACCGATAACACATCAGCGGCAACCATGTTAGTTTACCGCTGATTGGCTTCTGATCAGATTTCCATGTGGGGGGGGGAACAAAGACATAAAACAATCAGACAACAATGGCTTATTTTTCCTCATGAAAAGTAAACTTAAAACAAATTTCACATTTCAGTTCTTTTATGTGGACAATACTTATTCTTCTTGAATATTTGTAAACAGTTAAACAAAATATGTAAAAATCCATAGCAGTTACTCCTTTTGTAAATAAGACTACATTATTTAATTTGCTGAAGATGAAATCAAGGTCATATACTCCATTACTCAGCAACCTTCTAATTAATAAAGTGATATCGTATGTCAGTGTGCATAGTTCGACTGTTTTCTGTTGGTGATCTATTAAAAATTTATAGTAGATTTGTTATAGCAAAGTAGTTTACTTTTTTCCAAAATTCAGCTTTAAAACTTTGTCTTTTACGACATATTTTATCCACATTAATTCTTTGCCTCCTTTCATGGTGGGTGAACTTACACCTTTTTGTGTAGAAATTTTCCAAATTACCGACCCTTTATTTAAGTATATGTAGTTTATCCATTCTTTCTCACACATAATTTATTCATTTTAAATTTCGTTCAGACTGAAGCCACAGAGAGCATTACACCTTTTTAGAGTGATTTCAGAATCCGCTTAATTAATGTTAAAATATAAAAGTTTTTTTTTTTTTTTATAAGCAATTTCAACATGTTTGGCAGTGTGTAATTACAGTTCTCCTGAAATTGTGATAAGATACTTACCACATATGCAATATTAGGCCCAATCATATAAGAACTATATATCCCAGTAGATTTCTTAAAGTAAATTTCACATTTCATGAATTTCTGCACTTGTAAACTGACAATCTAGTTTAGTAAGAATAGTGCCTTTAGCTATGGAATCTGAATCAAATTTTTTTCAATGTATATTTGCCGATGTATAAAAGTCTGCTGCCATTTTTTAAGAATTCAATTCTGAGTAACTGGTTCTGTGTAAAATTTTAAGATTAAAAAAAAAAAAAAAAAAAAAAAAAAAAAAAAAACACTTACTCAGCTGTGAGATTAATTCATCTATACAATGTTGATCTTTGCTAAAAAATTACAATATCATGACATATAATGAGAGAATTACATTAGGGCTCTTACAAGCAATTACACCATAGTGTTTTCTTAAAATTTAGATTTTCTTAAGTATTTTCAAATTCTCAAAACCATTCATGATCACTTTGATGCAGACCATAAATGGCCTTGTGTAATAAACTGACTTTACTTTTCTCTTCAATAAATCTTTCTGACTGGGTCATATACATTTTCTTATTTAACTTTGCATATAAATATATGTTTTTCGTGTCTAATTAACAGTTAATCCAATCCAAACATACTGGTACACTGAAAATGGTCAGCAAAATCTTCCCCTCTTCTCAGCCTGAATCCCTATGTGACTAAATGCTCTTTATATGTGACCACTTTATTCTTTTCATTTCTTTTTTGTGTAGAGACTCATTTGTTTCCTAGTATATATTTCCTTTTTGCCTTCCCGAACTTTCCTTTTCTTCATAGTGTCAATTTCTTCCTTCATTGCCCTATCCCATTCTACATTATTTGTGAATTTCCTTGTTTCTTTAAAATTTTATATGATGATAATTTCTACAGAATTTGCCTCTTCAGATGTAGAACTATCCTCCTTTTCTTACAAAAGTAATTTTTCCGGAGTGTTTGCTTTTGCCACTGATTTCAGTCATCTTTCTCCCATTTAATGTTTCTAGCCTCACAGTACTTTTCAATACTGTTATGGTATCTAAAAAAAAATGCTCCACATAGTTATATATATCTATCTCCATTTGGCTTCTTAACTGTTTATCTTCAACCTTTTAAGTCTGAAACTTCTTCCATGTATTGTCTTTATGGATTTATTTGTCTTCTAGTCACTTCGTTCTTTGTCTGGGAATTTTCTATTCTCTATCCGAGTCTGATAACATTTCTAATTCTTCTGATCCTTTTTGAGTTTTGGGTTTCTAACCCGGGATTTTTAAAAACATTAAAAAATCATTTATATAAATAAATGTATATGTATTTTTCGTGCTTTGAAAAGGGGCTAATGATCTTCTAGCACTGGTGACAGGGGTGCATAGAGTAAAATAGGTTGAGAACCACTACATTAGAATACTGTGCTTCATAACAAATTTTGCCATATAAGAGCATGTATATGTGTGTTTTACTCTTATTAGAAATTAAAGATTAATCATTAGTTTTAGAATGTAGTTAATAACTTCTGTAGTTGTGAGAATGTGAAGGAATCCTAGAATGATAAGTTTCACTAAAAATATTTTAAATTGTAGATTGATAAAATGCATATGTTTATATTTTCATAATTGCATGGCCATAAATAAATCAGCCAAAATTTACAATTTATATTTTTATACTTTTTATATATATTTTTATTAAATGGCTTAAAATTTTGTCAGCCATTCACTGGTTTATGTTAAATTTTGTTGTTATGCATCCTTGTTCAAAGCTAAAGTAAGGTGCTTATAGTCATAAAAGAAGGTATTGCATTTTTATTCTACATCTTTATGCATATATGTATAATCTGCATATAAGATGTCTACATATATCCTGTTCCTCTTTTTGATAAGTCATATACATGACTAACAGTTTGCTCTTTATCTCTTCTGAAGTAACAATTTTCAAAATTGTTTCAATTTATTTTTATTTCATAAATACATATATTTTTTTAACAGACTGTAGTCGCTTTTCATCGCCATATCTTGAAAGACAGTATTCTCCACGCTCTGTGCCTGAAGATTTTGAGAACCTCTCGCAGCCTCTCAGGTTGTGTTCTTTAGATACATCTCCAAAGACACTGCAGCGCAGGCGTTCTGATAATATATTTAGATAATATTATATGAATGTAAAAAAGTATATTGTCAGTGATGCCTTTTCATATTTCACTATTTAAAGTGTCATTTTTATGTTAGCATCTGGACCATTAAACTCATATGGAAGGCAGACTGTTTTCAGAATAACAAGTTTGTATTTTTAAATGCATTTTAAATTGAAGTTGTTATTTTCATTCCTTTTGTGCAGTTTGTTATTGCAGAGGCTCAGTTTGAAGTAGAAGTTGTGAACAATTTTTTTTTTTTAATTTGATTCTTTTCATCATCATATTGACATTGTAAGCATTTGTATGTACATAAATTTATTTCAAGTATTTTGATTTCCTCTTGTTTGTTGAATTTGTTTTAATTAATGTGTCTCATTTATTTTAAAATTTTCATTGTTATAGAATCGTAAAATTATTTTCCAGGTGATTATGTTTCTGTGTAGAAATATATTTTAATGTCATTATGAATTTTAAGCTGCTATCTAAATTTTATTTCAATAAAATGATTATATGGTTTTTTAGAAAATACTCTCTAAATGAGAGTCAGGGTTATTGGGAAGGCTCCATATTTTGAGACTAAGCAAGTCCTAGCTGAAAATATTCTAAGATTTCCAATTCACCTTGAAAGTTCCAGACATTCATCTACATTCAGGTTACAATATATATTTCTTTCAAAATGTTAAGCAAAATGATAATTTTTTGTCTAAAACATCAGGGTTAAAGAAAAAAAACATTAATACTCACAAATTATTAAAAAGTTTTTGTTTTAAATGTTAACGAGTTAAAAGAAAAAAATTGCTCCTCTCTTCTTTACGAGTTAAAAGAACAAAGACAAGCAATCTGCTTTTCTTGCAGAAAGTACTTTATGTGTCTCATAGCTGATACAGTTTTACTAAAACATTGCTCTCTTCTCCACTTATGAGTGGTCTCCTGTTCATTCTCCCTAGAAATGTAACTATTCTATTATCCCTACTTTAGACATGTTACTTTCAAAAATAATTTTTAGAGTAAAAGTAACTGTATTTTGTGGTTAGATGATTAAATGAATTTTTCAATCCAGTTTAATCCTTAGCTCTTTAGTTTTATTTTGAAATATCCATAGGATTAACATTCACTATGAATAATGTAATATTATACATTTCGTTTGCATAGTGAACAGTTTTCCTAGGGTTTGATATTTATTTCATTTGTAAAGCTAATTAATTTTTTATAATATTCCTAGTTATTCTATTGTATTTTGTAGAAAATAAATAAAGCTATTAGCTTACTTGATACTTCATTACATTTGATCAGGAAAATTAAAAACAGAATTTCAATGGGAACCGGGTCGTCTTCAACAGATTGCATATGTTAATTTCTTGCATTGATTAGGTAGCTAATTGGCATTCTGTGAATTAATTTTTTTAATTTAGATTTGTATTTTTGATTTGGAAAAGTTATTAAACATTTCTTATAATAGAATTGCATTGGTAAATAAGTATATGCTTCAAAAGAAAAAACTGAACATTCTGTTTGCTCATTTCCTAAGTAAATTTGTAACAAATAGAACTGATTAAGCTTTAAGCTTATTTTTTAAGAGGTAAGCAATTTAAAAAGTATAACAGAATAATATATAGTTGATAGAGTTGTTACAGATTTTTAGCTTAATTATTTAATGTGTAACAAGTTTGTGCTTTAGTTTAGTGAACTGTATTTCTAAAGGTTATACAGTACAAAGTCTTTAATCCGGACCTCAAAGCTACAAACTTTCTGCGCATGCGCATATGCATTTACGCTTGTACATAAAATCTTTACTCATGCACATAATACGTTTACACATGCGCGTTTAATGTATAACAGACGGTGTAAGCTAAAATTATCTAATTATCTATTTCACTTAATGTTGCAGATTGTGTTGTTCCTTAATCTTCTAGTTGGATCAGGCTTATTATTTTTTGCAGACTGTTAGAGCAATTTTATTAAAAGTAAGCTTGAACTTTCAATTATGTCAAAAAGAGTTTCCGATTCTGGAGCTGCCAAAGGATCTACAAAGCAAAAGCATGTTTCGATGTCCATCAAACAAGAAGTGGAATTGCTGCAAAGAAAGGATAAAGGCATGCAGAAAGTGACAGAGAGGTTAATGAAAATGAAAACATTTCGATTGACAAGTTAGTCGGTATTCTCGGCACAGCAATTACAGGACTTGAACAGCAGAACTTTGTAACTGAACAAGAAAATAAATAAAGCTATTGAAATTATGTCTGTTTATAGAATTAAAGAGAAAGTATTAGCACATAAAGCGAAACAACTTGAATAACTTACATTGAAAGAAATGTTTATAATAAAGTAAACAAATAAATATTTAGCTCCCCCCCTTTTTTTGTGTAAATTTTGATAACCTTTAGATCATAATTGCTTTTTATTTCATAAATTACAGTTTCATATTTTTAATTTTATAATTTTTGCATGCCATCTTACCAGATTTAAATTGATGATCTATAATCTGGAATCACCGAAGTCCCGACGAGTCCAGATTAAAGACTTTGTAGTGTACTTTTTGGAGGGGGAGAGTTGTATATTCTGCATGGCATTCACATTGGTTTGATTTTCATTAACCTGAATAGTATCTGTTTACAAATTGGCATCAATAATTTGATTGGGAAATTTTGATCCAAAATAACTAGCATTCATCTAAACTTTTTTAAATAAGAAGTTAACTGTCAAATACCAAATGGACACTGCTTGTCTTTCTTAAGTTGCACTACAAACTGCATTTTTCTGCATTCTATAAAATTTGAAGAAGGTACTGATACTATCTAAAAAGTGGGACTTGCTAAATCTCAAAGTAAACTACCAAACTTGTTTTTAGTTTTTATATTTCATAGTGTACAGTTACAAAGTTTCATTTCTTTTCTTTAAATGATTAAAAAATATGATAAATTATTATATGTAAAATCAAAATGTCAATTTTTTTAAAATTTTTGATGAACTGAATATAAATGTTATATGATCGAAGAGAGAGGGGGAAGTGAAAAAGTGTAATATTGAAAATCATTAAAATACAACATAAAAACTTCTATCATATATGTAGTTTGTGCTGAAATATCTTCATTTCTGCCAAAAAAGTTTCAAATATCATTAGTGTTTTTATAAATAATGTAAATTATCAATTTAGGCTTCGCCAAATTGTTCATAATACTACCGTATTTTTGAAATTAATGTTTCAAGTATTTGTGATATTTGTAAATTACATCTTTGATTAAAAGTTTCTTTGTATATATTGTGAATTGTGAAATTTCTTTATAGTGATTCAAACATGTTACATCATTTACATTAAAACAAATTTGCCTTTAACTAGCAGGATGTTGGTATTTTGATATGACATTTAGGTCACTGGTAGGGTTTGATAGCTATATATTTTTATGGTTGGGTATTTTATATATCATTGTTCACGTTGCTAGTTCCATTGCATTACTACTTTAATTGTGAGATATTCTACCGAATAGCAAGAGTTTAAGGTTTTTATAAAGTTTCAACTTTAAACATTAAGAAAAAGGAACTCATAATTGTCTTTACAGTAAACTCTCGCTACGATACCCGATACAATAACTCCCTCTACTACAATAATGTTTTGTGGTCCCGGTGATTTTGCATATAAACTAATGTTAATCTCCCCTCAACATTGCTATATTCTCTAGAACAATAAACCTCTGTAAAACGTTTTTTTCAATCTAAATTTCAGTATTATTTTCTCCCTTTATAATAATATTTTGATTTTCAAATGCTTTTTTTTTTTTTTTTTTTTTTTTTTTTTTTTCTTTTGTTATTTTTTCCGTCTATTAAGACTCATTGTGGATATTCAACTTATCCCTGAATAAATAGCTATTGTTCAGATTTCAAAACAGATGAAGACCACCCTTTTGGGAATTGGAGTGGGTTAGGGCAGGTGAAGTGTAAATGTATGCCTAGTCTCATTTCCCAGTAAGCTTTGGAATTCTGATACGGTTTAAGGACATCTAGACCTGTGGTCACCTTGTCACAGAACAAGTGCCCTTTGTTAGAGGGACAGGGGGAGATGGAGGCGGGGTGTTGTTAAGTGACGTACTGAAAAGTGAGTTCAAAGGTCGTTTTATAGTCTTTAACGATTTTGAGTTCTACGCGAAACATTTGGTTTAAACTTTTCTTTCTTTCACGCAATATTGTTCCCTAAGATGGCAGGGCGAAAGCAACTATCTTTTCGAGATAAACTGAACGTTATCAATGATATTGATGAGGGAATGAAGCAGATTGATGCGGCTAAGAAACATGGATTATCGCAATCTACAGTTGCAACGTTCCTAAAGAAGAGAAAGCAAATCGAAGATGCTGTAACTTCAAATGAAATTAACCCAGAGCGAAAACGACTGAAAGTTGCGACAAATGAAAACATTGATGCTGCTGTTTTAAAATGGTTTCAAGAGATGAGAGCAGCAAATGTCCCAATAAATGGACCTTTATTATGTGCAAAAGCACGGAAATTTGCAGCAATGCTAGGGAACGAAACTTTCAAAGCTAGCAATGGTTGGTTAATGCGTTTTCGAGATCATCATGGAATAACTTTCCAAGAAGTTCACGGAGAGAAAAAGTCAGCCCCGATAAACGATGCAAATGAATGTCGGCAAAACAAGATGAAAGAAATCTTAGAAAAGTATGCTCTAGAAGACATTTATAATGCAGATGAAGCTGGGCTGTTTTTCCAATTCCTACCCGATCGAACATTGGCATTCGAGGGTGAAAAGTGTTATGGAGGGAAGAAATCAAAGCAGAGACTGACTGTTCTTCTGTGTACAAATAGCACAGGAACGCATAGAATACAACCTCTCGTCATTGGTAAATCATTGAAGCCAAGGTGCTTTAAGAAAGTGAAAAGCCTTCCCGTGGAGTATAAAGCAAATAAGAAGGCTTAGATGACGTCTAAATTTTTTTCCGAATGGTTACGGAAGCTAGACAATGAAATGAAGAAGAGAAAGAAAAAAATCGTTCTGTTGATAGATAACTGCGGTGCTCACACGTCATTTCCAAAGCTACAAAATATCGAAATCGCTTTTTTCTCTGCCAATTGCACTTCAATTTTACAGTCTCTTGGTATGGGCATGATTATTTGCTTCAAATGATATTACAGAAAACGATTGGTGGACTCCATACTTGTAAACTTTGAAAATAAAGTAGAAGACCCTTTCAAAGCTGTAAATGTCAAGGAAGTGTGTGACAATATTGCTGAATTGGGGAAAGGTGGGAAGTAACAGAAAAAAAAACATTTGGAATTGCTGGAAAAAGGCCGGTCTTGTGTTATGGAAGATAAGAAATCTGATAATGATGAAAATTCCATAGACAATGATCTCTCAGATGATCAAGAATGTGTTTTGCACATCAAAAAATCCGTATCCCAACTTGAGGAAACAAGCGGTAAAAAGTTTGGAATTAGTATAGAAGACTATTTAACAGCAGATGATGATCTTATGGTTTTCGCAGGAGTTACTGATGAAGATATTCTCTCTGAAATTTCTGATGAGATAGGAAACAATGATGAAGATGATGATAATACAGGTCCATCGCAGCTCATATTGTCATCCCAGGAAGCTCTTCAATCTGAATTCTCTACGAACATTTTTTTCAAGCCTTCTGTCGACAAATGAAGAACATTTTCGTGCACTAGACTCAATGCATACAGTATTGGTGAACTTAACAGTTAAAAAAATCAATAAACAAACAAAAATATTGGATTATTTTCAATAAAAAGTGTTTTCAGGTATGTGAATATTTCTGTGCTTATTTTCTGAATTTATCTTATTTATTTATTTTTTTTTTTTTTTTAGTATTTAAACTGCTATTATTAGTATTTTACAAATTAATTTCTTCTAAAATATAGACTTAAAAGTAGTATGTTATGCACCTTAACTAATAATAATTAAAAAAAAAAACTCTTATTAAATGCTCAAAATATGTGGGCCCTCGATATAACAATATGCCTCTCTACAACAATATATTTATTTGGTCCCTAAAATATTGTTGTAACGAGGTTTCACTGTATTAGTTTTTTAAAAAGTAGTTTATTAGTTTTTTCTTTAAAAAAACTATATAGTTTAAAGTGGAAGTTGAAAATGCAGTCATAGGCTGTACGTGTGGTATGTTATGCATGTAATAGAACTGTTATATAATACACAAATTGGGTTCTGCTGTATGTAATGATATTTAATGTACTTTTGTCAAATTCAGAAACAGAGTGCATAGTGGTGCTTACAAGTCCTTGTATTTGAAAATAAAATATAAAGGTCCTTATAGGCGCTTACTTTTTCTCTAAAGCTTTTTTTTTTTTTTTTTTTTTTCTCCTTTAAAGCCCAGAAGGCCTATTAATTTTATTTTGGCATTTTGCGTCCAAAACTTTATACACTCTTAGACAAAAAGAATGACGTGCCAAGAACATATAAAGTGAATTGGAAATTGATATGCATACAGGTTTCGACGGAAAATGCGAAATTTTACATTTTGGCTGCCAATGAATGAACGATTGTTGCTACAGCGCATCTAATCTGTGCAACTGGCAGGATATTTAAGAGGAGAAATTATGATTCCAGGTTATAAATTCTTCATGAATTTCATTCTGTGTACTCTGGTAGACAGTAACTATGCCTCGCATACAGGTGCGATATGCGCAGATGTCAGAATTTGAGAGAGGTCGTGTAGTTGTGCTCAAAGAAGCCGGTTGGTCTTATCAGCGAATAGCTCCACATTTGAGCAGGAGCGATGCCACTGTTAGACGATGTTGGCAGGAATGGGTGAACCATGGCTGCATACAGCGTCAAGAATGAAGCGGTAGGCCTAGAGAAACAACAGAATGTGAAGACCAAGCAATCGTCAGAGCGTCTTTCATAGCCCCAAATGCATCATTATCATCGATTATACACGCAACTAGTGCTTCAGTGACTGCAAGGATCATTCATAGACGACACGCAGAAAGGGGGCTGATGTCACGGCGCCCCTTGCACCGACTACCATTGACTTGTAATGAAGCCCGTTTGCTTTGGTGTCGGGCTCATTCGCACTGGAATGTCATTGACTGGAGTAGAATAGTGTTATTTGATGAGTCCCGATGACCAGCAAAGGCGAGTGTGGAGACGCCCCAGACAGCGGTGTGATACCAACCTGACCTTCTTCCATCAGACAGGCCGACAACCAGGAGTGATAGTCTGGGTTGCCATTTCACTTCATAGTAGGACCCCCTTTGGTTGTCATCCATCGCAACCTTACAGCACAGCGGTATGTCGACGAAGTACTAAGGTCATTGTATTGCCCTTCATCTCACGCCACCCTGGGCTTACATTTCAACAAGATAATGCCCGCCACCATGTTGCACATGTTTCTTCTGCTTGCCGAACATTACCTTGGCCAGGAAGGTCACCGGATTTCTCTCCTTTTGAGCATCTTTGGAGCATTATGGACAGGGTCCTCCAAGCAGCTCGGTATGTTGACGATCTAACGCACCAGTTGGACAGAATTTGGCACGATATCCCTCAGGAGGACATTCGCAAACTCTATCAATTGATGGCCAGCCAAATAACTGCTTGCATAAGGGCCGGAAGGGGACAAACGCGTTACTGACTTTTTTTTTACTTTGTGAAGCTCTATCACTAATAAATCATCCAGTTTTTCTCAAACTGTAATCATTTGTTTTTCTGTGCATGTACATCGCTTCTACCGATTTCCGTTCCATTCAGATTACTTCTTTTTGTGTCTCCTCTTTTTTTTTTTTTTTTTTTTTTTTTTTTTTTGTCGTCTAAGAGTGTATATCTCTTTGACTTTTCAAATTGTTGCCATCAAATGTTACCGCCCTGTGTTATATTTAGAGAAATTAAATAATAAAGAATCTGCATAAATGTATGTATGTTTCTCGTTTTGTGATAAAACAACAGTACCTAGAGTCATCAAATTTTGAATAATGTATTGTAACACGTTAATTAATTTTTAAAAAGCTCGATGATTTCAAAGCGAGTAATGGCAACACTGTACAGGGGGAAAAAAACACGTTTTTATCTCCAGCGCACAAGACTGTGTATCAGAAATTATAAAGATATGCTCTTTTAAATATTTTGTGATATTGCTGCTGTTGAACTGAATTTTATGTTTTATTTTCGAAAAACATGATATTTAAAAAATAAAGGTAACGCAAAAAGTTTAAAAAAAAAAGTCCCATTGGGTGTAATGTAAAATATGAAAGCTTTCAGAATTATTTGTTTTACGAACGTGCATTTTTTCTCTCTCATCTAAGCCAAAACTAAATAAACGACTTTTCTTTCTTTTCTAGACAGGGTTCGTAAGGTCCTTAGGTTTTTTGGAATCGATTTTTGGTCCTTAAAAAAGCCCTTAATTTTGGCCAAAATTGGCAGAAAGTCCTTAATTTTAATCATCTGAAATTTCTGTCTTTTTATGACTGCTATTTTGAGTGTCAATTAAAAATTCTAATTGACACTCAAGAATAATCTTCCTTTTAATTTTTTAATAGTAAGAGTTTTTCCCATGTAATTATCTCAAAATATGCATCAGTTTTATCTATAATTTTACGTTCTTCCCCTCCTTTTTTTTTCCAAAATATTTCTGGCTTTTTGCTATTGCACAATTCATAGGGATTAGATTTCTTTAGCATATTAGACACTGCAGCTTGGAAAGTTTAGAAGGATTTGAAGGCAAGATTTATAAACCCATGATTGTAGAAGATTCCAGAAATATGTGACAAAATGAAAATAGTCTCCATGGTATTAACACGGAATTGAAGTATATTACAGAAAGTTTGTACCTCCTGAAGATTCGGAGAAATGTTTTGGAAACACTTTTTGGAGAATGTCTGGAAGAACAATGAAAACATAATACTTGAATGTTTTACTTTCGATACTAGAATTTTTTTCTTAACATGTTTATCTTCCCTTTATTTTCTCTACTTTCCACTAGACGCAAGCATGGAAAATATCAAAAATGCTTCTAATCTTATCATGGTCAGATTACAGCAAGGAATTTTTTATTAGTAAAAAAATTGAAAACTGACAATTTAAAAGATTCATTTAATATGCCTTAATGCATCATAAATAGAGCTGGGGCTAGACATTTCCCCACCTGATGCAGTCTTCCTGTGGATCCCAAATTCTGCTTCGAATGCCTGCTCTAAATTCTAAAAGTTATGACATTTCTAGATTCTGTTGCTCGGCGTTTCACTAAATTCTAAAATTTCTGCCACTCCGGCTCTATAACCAGCCTTTACCATATATATTTCTTCTGAATGTTCATATTACTAATGGAATAAAATAGTAGGTTTTCTGTACATTCTAAATGCTTTAGTTCTTTTAGAATAACAGAAATCTTTAATTAAATACAAAAATTCTAAAATGAAAAGGAAATGTGTTGAAGAAAGAAACAATACATAAAGGAAATTATTCTTCAAAGATATATACCGTTATTAAAATATAGCTTGAATTAAAATTAAATTGTATAGTCTTTGACCACTAGTCCACATATTTAGTTTGAATTTGACTGTACATGTTTAATTACATCCTCACGAGCTGTAATTAATTTTGTTAGAATCAGAACATGCCTTTATGTTCTAAGTTCTCTTTAAATAAGAACCTAATTTAAACCTCTGTCTGGCATTGTACTTACGTTCAGATATAGCAATAATTTGCTTCACGACTGTCAGGAGGTTTTGGACTATTTAACTTTTACCAGATCATGGCTCATGGCTACATTTGGAGAGGTTGACAAGGTAGGAGATGAAGCACGCAAAATCCAGTGAGAACATGTTTTTGCGTATTAAGACAAATTTTGGATTGTTAGAAAAGATGCTTAAAGAGAAGGAAATCGATATAAATTAACCGAAATGTCTGGGAATTCTTCAAATTAAAGAGACGCATAAATATTTTGTTGAGTGTTGTTACAAAACATTTATGTTTTGTAGCGTTTAATGTAATCCTAATATTGTTTAACCCTGCAGTGGAGGGGCCGGCGAACAGAGTACGCCAATGCTATCTTTTGGGCTGTAATTTTTAGACAACTCCTTCCTGAGCTTCCTCCCTTCCTCTACCCTCCTAGAAATATTTCATGAGTGCAATGCACCTGGTATTTCTGGTCAGTCTGGTTTTCGCCTTCCTTCCGAAAGCAGTTATTGTGAACATGTCGCGTAGGCGAACACCATACGCCGCTCCTCCAAGTATGTACAGAAAGAATATCGTACCTCCTGAAGATTATTTGCGCGTTTTAGAAGTCTCGTTTGATGAAGACTCCGACAATTTGGATAACGCATCTGATGTCGATGAATCGGAAGTCATCGAACATTCTGATCATGAAAGTGACTCAGAAATTGAGGGAAATGTTTCTAAACATCCTCATTTTCCTTCCTCAAATGATGTTTTCCCAATAAATGACGATTTTAGTGATATTGAAAATGACATGAGTGATTTAAAATATGAGGACTTTTTTGTAAAAACAATTTACAAAAAGAAAAAGTTGGAGGAAAATTTCTGAAAGAAGAAAAGGAAACTTATAAGTGGAATAAAGTTCCCCTCAAGAGCAAATTCGCCAGAGCCCCTCGAAAAAATTTGATGAAAAAAATATGTCCAAGTGCCAAAACTTGTGACGATATAAATGATGAGCTTTCTGCTTTTCAGAAAATCATAAATACAAATATGATTGATGCTATCATACAATATACAAATATTTATCTCAAATGTGACAGGACTGCAGATGATCTCCAAAACATCTCAAAGAGAAGCATGTATGATACTAATAGAGCAGAAATGTTGGCCTTTTCAGGAATTTTATTCTTATTAGGGTGCAAAAAAAAATGTCAAAACTCAATTTGGAGGAAGCATGGGCAAAAGACGGTACTGGAATTGAAATTTTGCAAGGAGTCATGGGTCTCAAGCGATTCAGAAACCTGTGTCCTGCTATTAGATTCGATGATAAAGGCACAAGGTATGTTTGAAGAAAAACTGATAAGCTTGCTGCACTAAGAAAACAATCAGAACTGTCAAAACTTTTATACACCAGGTGACGAACTCACAATCGACGAGAAGTTGGAACATTTTCGCAGGAGGTGCTCTTTTATTCAATTCATCTCCAACAAGCCTGCAAAGTATGGTCTGAAAATTTTTGCAGTTGTTGACTCACGAAAGTTTTATACATTGAAGCTTGAAATTTACTGTGGCAATCAACCCCCAGGACCTTACGAGGCTTCTAATTCAAGTATTGACATTGTCAAAAGGCTAATTGGTGCACACGAAGGTTCCAACTGTAACCTGACGACCGATAATTGGTATACAAGCTACCCGCTAGCTCAATATCTTCTTACCAAAGGTATATCACTTGTGGGCACGTTGAGAAAAAATAAAAAGGAAATTCCAAATGAATTCCAGCCATCAAAAACCAGAGAAGTCGGCAGTTCACTGTTTGGTTTTCAAAAGGATATGACAATTGTTTCATATGCAACGAAAAAAAATAAGTGTGTAATACTGCTCAGTACTTTACACGATGATGACAAAATTGACCAGGAAACGAATAAATCTCAAATAATCCTCGATTATAACAAATGTAAAGGCGGAGTTGATACCGTAGACTAACTTCGTAGTAATTTCAGTGTCGCCCGAAAAACCAAGAGGTGGACAATGGTAATATTTTTTGACTGCTAAAACGTAGTGGCCATAAATTCGCAAGTGCTCTTGAACTTCTCCAAACCTGATGCAACCATCAAGTTTAGAATATATTTTTTGAAAAATCTACCTACATCTTTGATGAAACCACATCTTCAGAATCGTCTGAAAATGCCATTTCTCCTGTCGCATTCCAAAGCTATTATTAGAAGGCTGGTAACAACAGAAGCGGACAAGACGGCCGAAAGGGACGAGGAACCACCTGCAAAAAAGATCAAAGGAGGCTGCCCTGAGTGCGGTAGAATGAAGAATAACTACACTACCATAAAATGTTCTGAGTGTTCTAAGTTTACCTGCAAAAATCATCCGGGCAAGACAGTACAATTTTGAAAACCTTGCTGCAATGAACAGGGACAATCGGAAGAGTATTAAAATAGCAAAAGGTTTTCAAATTTTTCATTTGTGAAATTTATTACTTACCGAACTTTTCTTTACGGAATATTTATAATTTGTAATTTCTATTTATGTTCTTATAATTTTCGTACAGAAAATAATGCAGAATATTAATTAACTTTAAATTACATTTCCAGGGCATCCACGTTTTGAATTAATTAAAAATTCGTAGTTTCCATCTTTACTGCTTTTTTTTTTTCTGTTATACTTTTTCTTATATCATTTTTACTATGACGAATCACCTTATCAATGCCATGTATAAGATTAAATAGTTTCAAACACGAAGTAGAGGCTCGAAAAATGATCTGGCGTACTTCATACGCTGCCCCTCTAAGATTGTACCAGACGCCAGCCCCTCCAATTGAGGGTTAAGAATTAGTGTCATAAATTATATTTATTTTAAACAGTAAAATTTTATTAGATTGTGATTTTAATAGGGCCTTTTTTATCAAATATTCTTAAAAAATTAATAAAATTTAATAATGGTTATGTAAATCCATAATAACTAAGGTTATCTAACTACCTAAATTATTATTTGTAATTGCTTACCCTTAAAAATTATCTCTGCATATTAAAGCGAGTTATTGCCTTTCATTAATCCTTACCGTAGTCACAAGATAAAACACAAAAGTGTGAAAATTCATGTAAACTTTTTCTTTTCATCTAGTAAGACGTAAAATAATACAAAACAACTTATCGTTTCTGGTGCTTTAGTGGCTTATTGGAACCTTAAAGAATATTAACTGGGTTACAATCCGTGAAACTCTCCACGAAGCTACGACACTAACTCCATCAGACAAAGCCCAACTAACTTTCAAAACTTGCCAATAGACCTTTCAGGTTTGTTCTAATCGGCTGGTCTTTCTTTAAGCAAGCAGCAGCGGTGACAACATCCAATCTTCTGTTATGGATCGTGCTGATTATCATGTTACTTCTCATTTTAATCTATGCCGCTTGACATAAAATCTACCTGCTATTTACTGAACCTCTAGACTGAGCAAATGTGTAACAAAATTAAACATTTAAAAAAGAAATCAAATTAAAGCTAACTGTTAGTAAAACATAAATAAAATGTCACTTATCTTCTTTCAAATATATCCAACTATTATAAATGTAAAATATTTAATGGTACTTGATACATTTTATAAAGTTGATTTTATTCTCAAACTTATTAATAATTTTGTTAATTCATGTTTAATAATAATTCATCCTACTTATGAATCTATATTTTATTTTTAGGATGTATTACAAAAGTGAAATAAATATTTTTAATTGAATTTGTTCAGTTCCCATTTGCTCACAGGTCCTTAATTTTTTCATTAATGGCCCTTAAAAGTGCTTAATTTCTTGTGCAGAAATGTGTAGGAACCCTGTCTGGAGCGTGATATGGTGAGTCATAGTCCCTGAAATAGCCTTTTCTTCCCTTCTCTGCAAGGTAGCCTTTGATTTGTGCGATTACAGACTGGTATTGGTCAAAGAATTACAAGGGGTGGAAAATTCACGTACATTCCACATTCTTTTCCTCCTATACACAGACTGTAGGCATTTGAATTTCTATCAAGATAGTAATAATTTGTATTCTCATTCGGTGTGGTCAGTTCATATTTGTGTTTATTGTTATCTTAATGCTTATATTATAAGCATATGTATGAATATTTATAATAGTATATTTTCCGTGACTGCTGAAGTGAGTGAGTGAGTGCCACCAAGGAAGACCACTGACCTGGCCTTAGCCTCACAGTGTGTTATCTTCCTGGCAGAAACCATCTACTCTCTGCTCCATCCTGCTCCGGGAACGCAGCCGAATAGACGGCTAAGAGCGTCATATAGTCTACATATAAGCTTGGATGTTGTTGTACGGGGAAAGAGTATCCTGTTAGGAACTACTTAAAATTAAGCAAAGAAGCAATCAAAAGACTGTTAAGAATCGCTGTTAGAATAGACAGAAACTTGTATTAGATAAAGTAAAGATAGAAGGACTTTGCCTGAAAAATTAACTGCCGTGGATTTTCTGGACTTGCTAAATGTCTACATGCGGGTGCTTATCGTGACACAACCGTCATATCTTTATGGGGCTTCTGTGAAATCGTTGGTCCTGCATGGAGGAAAGTTGTAACCTATTAAATTATTGCACATAGTAAACTTTAAAAAAAAAATTAAAAAATAAAAAAATAATAAAGAGAGAGATTAAAGATGATTAAAAAAATCCTAGCGCCCAAACATAATTTAACGCAGTTTACTTTTCCATGTGGCCTGACTCTTATGTAAAAACATTTAAAAGATTGTGTACCTGTTACCACTAAGATAACAAATTCCTGGCATAATTTAGTTCTTTTGCGCATAACTTAAACTGTAGTTGTTTTACAAATTGAACCATTCCACCTACATTTTCTTTCTTTCGTAGTACTTGCAGACAGGAATAATACATACATAAGTACAAAACTGAATATTAAAGTGAAAAACCTAACATGATACTGAGTAACAGAAATACAGAAAGCTGATCCCTAATGCCTGCATACATAACACTTAAAAATGCATACATAATACATGAAAATTAAAAATAAAACTGATAAGCATAATACATAAAACTGATCATTAAGTACTGCTATGTAGTCTGCTATCCTAGCCAAGTACGAACTGACCTTCATAGTACATGCTGAGAAGGAATAAATACAGACTTGAGTACTTTAAAGTGAACATAAACAGAAAAGTACAGCACCATACTCAGTAAAACTGATATCTGATTCCAAACACTTGAATACATAATGCTGATACATAATTACAAAGAGAAACTTACCTACATTAATTCCATAGTTAGTTTTATCACCTTAGAACATGCACATAATTTATACAAAACATAATTAAGCACGTAATGCTGATCACTAGGGAAGAGATTCAACATGCAATTGATCACATAAATACAGATATTTCTTCCCTAAGATTTGCATAAAAAGTTGAATATTTATTAAAATTAAGAAGGCAAAAATGCCATACCAATAATAATATCATTCATAACTTGAGGTGATAACATAAGTTGACCTTGCCCTTCTTGAACCTATTTATCACAAACTTGTAATTTAAATACACGATTAGTAAGTGTAGGAAAAAACTCATTGCTGTTGAAGATTTTACTGGCACGATCTGGTCTTGCGAGTCCTAGACCTGTACATTAATTGCAAAAGTAAACATTATAAAGAATATAGGCAGGTTGTTGCCATAGTCCTAATTATCTAAGTTAGTCTTGGGTTGAGAGGTTCGAGGCGTGTGCCCAGATTGATTTAGTGTGATTTATACATTTTATGATTCAGAGCGCTAAGCACTTGATTATTTCTATTTGGGGACACTTATCGTCGTATTAGAGAATACTTTCTCTGACAATGGCTGATTACCGCTTGTAGCTTTTTATTTGCTGTTTTGTTTGTTCTCATATTTGCCGCCCATTGTGGCCAGTAAGCTTGACTTGGCTTTCTTATATGGTACTGTGCCGTGTTTGTGCAGTGGAAGATGTAGTGGTCTGGATCCCCCACCTCTCCACATTGACATATAACTTCAAAAATGGATAAGGGTGTTTTTAGCTCAGATTGGCTGTCTAAGGAAGAATATTCTGAATGGCTTAACCCTTTGACAGGGGGACGTTAGGCGTCGCGCCTTTTTATCAATTTTTATCTCCAAGATGAAGGCTGCAAAATTTCATTTAAAATACATACAATTATGTCTTTTAATTTTTCTAAATGTATAACAGATGGCAGTACATGTATTCATTCATGGAAATAATGAAAAATAAAAATTCTTTGCAGGTCTAATTTTGAAGCAGTTTTTTCCCTTAATTTATTATGCAATTTAAATCGTCTGAACACCAACTTTTGGTGTTAAAATGAATATTTTGATCCGAGAGTTTCCTTTTCTAATAAAAATTATTATTTGAATTCATGTATATTAATTAAAAATGGTTGAAATTAAAAGGTGAGACAAATACGTCCCACTGCGCATGTAGGAATTACTCCTAGTAGATGGCAGCACCGTTCAATTTTTTTTAATTCAAGTGTTATGTTCATTTAGTGTCTAAGTTTAAAAGGCGCAACAGCAACATTCTGCCCATTAACGGCCCCTCTGGAATTGCTTACACTGATTTTGAGAAAGCAGAGTCTATTGCAGACAATGCTACTCAATTTCGCACTCACAACATTTCTCACCCACAGACAGAACACTTGGTTTCCTCCCTCATTACACAATACTAAACCAGAACACACGCTAACAACATGCCCTTAATTATGCCATTGGAAGTTAGTAGTTATATCGAGAAGAGAAAAAACCGCAAAAGCCCTGTATTGGCCAAGATTAGTAATAAAATGATTAAGGAGATGGGTCCAAAAATGCTGTGCAAGTTTACAAAAATCATTAATGCTGTGTTCAAGCTTCAGCACTTTCCATCCAATTAGAAGACTGCAGTAATTGCGCCAATCCTGAAACCGGACAAAGACCTCGCCCTCGCCACCTCCTGCACCCCAATAAGCCTA